CTGAAGTAAAACACACCATGGCCTTGAATTTACAGAATTTGACACTGTTCTGAAAAAACAACAACATTTGAAACAGAGAAAATGTGCTGCTATTGTGACATATTGACATATTGTGTAATATTTATGCTGTGATTCACGCTCGGTGGTTCAGAGGAGACATCAGTGTAACTTTGGGATATCATCATAGTTTTTTTCAGGGCATTAACTTTTTGGGTCTCCTCAGAAGTATTTGACCCGTGTTGTTTTTCTCTGACCTGTAGGTGACGTCCTTCTTCTGCCACTTGGGCTTTCTGTGGAAGAAGTTGTAGTTGGCCACATCTGGGACGCCACAACGGGGCTTTTTCATGATGTCCACAGTTTTGGCATCAATCTCCCCAGTTTCTTGCAGATTAAAGAACTTCTGCATTTTTTTCAGCGTGTCTTTGAGCACCATGAGGTTACATCTGTCTTGCGGACATCCATAGAACTTATTCAGATAGTGCTGAGAGAGAGAGAGAAGGGGCACACGCATGACACCAATGAATCACCTTTTTATTTACCAGTTAAGTGTAAAAAAATAAAAAATAAATAAAAAAATAAAAATATAAATCTGGCATTAAAGTTGTTACAATAACACTATGATTTAGTTTGGATAACACCAACTAACTTTAGGAAACAAAAATAAAATAAAAACCTCACCAGAGCAACTTCTTTGTCTGTTTTGGGAGTTGTGTCGTCTCCAGGAAACCTGATGATAGGCGAAGGAGCAGCATAAGTTGCTTCAAAGACGATGAACTGAAACAAAAACACTTTGAGAAAAACCCGACGACACTTTAATATCGTCGGAAATTCCATGTTTTCTTCTCAGGTAAACGGGATCTGCGGTGCGGCGGGCGCTGGTCAGCTCGGTCTGGTCCTCTGGAAAGACTTTTCTCCTCTTTCTCACTAACGGGACATTCTGCACCAGGGATCTATGAACTTTCTCAGTTCTGCTTGCACAAGCACTTTTTTCTCCTGATGTCATCTGCGCAGTCTCCAGGTTTGAGGAAAAAGGAGGAGGATAAGGAGGAGGAGGAAGGAGAGGAGGAGGAGGAGTAGGCCACATAATCATGCGGTTGGATTTATCCTCTTATTCTCTCTTTTACTGGAAACTTGAATTTGCAGCAGGACATCTTGGGTAGAGGATGGTGACGTCATCGACGCTGATTGACGCTACCTGCACCACATCTGTGTATTTAGTGTCTCAGTGTACACACATTGATGTTAGTTTATTGGTTTATGTAGCAGGGAGAGATACAGTTATAAACATATCCTGCTAAATATCCTAAAAATATAGAACTGCAGAATTACTGAGCTATAATCGTCTTCACTTAGTGCTAACAAAAAAAGTAAACTTTTACTCACACAAATCCACCAATTGTTTTGGTCCATATTAATTGAAACGTATCATTTTAATGTACCATGACCAACTGCTAAAATGCGTCACTGTCATCATTTATTCAGGTATAAATAAATCGATTCATTTTTTAAATTGACTGTTTAAAACTACTACATTTGTGCAGTTTTTTTTTTTTTTTGCTTTAGGAATAACGTGTACTCCGTATCACACTGGCTATGTGTGTTCTTTATATATCGATGGAAAATATTTTGTGATATATGCATTATATATGTATGCACTATTATGTGGCAAAAACACCTTTAGCGCCCAGGATAAACATTTGACGAGCTATGTCGACACCTAGCGGCAGAGGATCGGAAATGTCGACTTAACAGAAAGTCAACAACAACGAAGAGCATTTTATCATTTACATCACCATCGTTGTGACTCAGACATATGCTCAGGAGATCAAAAAGAAAAAAAAACTGATTAAAACAAATTTTATTTAATAAAGTTATTTTTTTTATTTTAAATAAAATATATTTTCTAAAATAACTAAACTGGTTTTGTTGTATGTAAAACCGTATCTAAACTAAATCCACGTCGATTCTTTGGCTTTTGACACATGTTATACATGTGACACAACACAACGAATGTGTTTCTTCGTTGACCTGACATTACTCCTCAGATGAATGTTGTGTTGCCGTAAATTAATCACTGCACCGAAGCCATCTTGACTCATTACAGTCAGGATGTTGTTGCAGATGAACTGTCTCCAGCTGCTTCATTTCAGACAGAGAAGGTGGGTTGGGGTCAAAGCAGTTTAGAGCTATCCGAATTACATTACTGCCCTCTCGTGGCTAACACACTCCAAGCACCCTGTTGTGTTTTTCTAGCCCTACACAGCAAAAGCGACAATTCTCTTAAAACGAGAAGTAAAGGACTCCCTTTGCAAAGAGATGTGACATCTGGATGGGACACAAACAGGAGTTCGTGGTATTTGGTAAAACAATTTCCCATTCCTTCAGCCAGAAAAAACTGTTATGTTTATATCAATGTTTGCTGCTAGCAAATGGGTACAGAGTTAATTTCACGTCCGTTTGCCAACAACCTCAGGAGCGCCACACTTTGGTGCAGTGTCCTTATTTCATACACTGACAATTGCTGCCATCTCCTCTAACTGACACGCTCTCTGTGAGCCCTCGCAGTGCCACAGAACACAATGGCTGCACAGTAAATGTGCATGGGCGTGCCTGGCTCTAAATAGAAATTGTGGAGATGCAAAGTTGAGCCACAGCTAGCAGTAATTGAAAGTCTTTGTGCAAACGGAAGCACTTTTGCAGAGGGAAGTGGCACGAAGAGATTAAGATGATAGGGTTTGATTTGCATGTAAATTGTTTTTTTTTCTTTCTTCTTCTCTTTTTTGTTGTTGTTTCCGTTGGATGCTTTAGCTTCATGAAGGCTGAAAAGTCCCACAGTGTGTTGGTGTGTTCGAGTCTACGGTGAATGCAAGAGAATCTTTTCTGTTCGCTTTCTTCTAGCTTGCAAAAGTGGCTGATTTAAACACAACTTACTACTGTGTGTTATCATTTAGGGGCACACGGTGGAAAAGTCATCAGTACTTCTCAAATAGTGGGGCGGGGCCCCCATGGGGGGCATGGCGAGGTGCCGGTGCTTTCAATGGAACATGGCACGCTGGACATGAGTGTACCACTGCTGTAATGTTTGAATGATGACAGGCCTCCAGTCACTAGGTGGCAGCAACTCATACAGTGGTTTGTTTCTAGAAAAACTTATTTTATTTAATTTTTTATTTTTTTATTATCAGTTACTAATGGTCGTCCTGTATGCGGTCTGCATGTTTTCCTTGTGTGCATGGACGTTCTCAGAGTTCTCTCAGTACTACGCTTCCTCCACACCAGGACGTCAAACACCATATTTTACATATGACTCCATCCTAATGCTCTGTATGTGACATGATGCTGGTGCAAAGCTTTAAAATACACTGCTGCTACTTCTATAAAGTTGTGTAATTAATTATGGCGGCTGCTTCCTCTGGCGTGCCAGCGTGGCCTCCTCTCGTGACTGGGAATAGGACATTCTGGACATGAAGGCCAGTTGTATTATGGCGCTCCAGCTGGCTCCAGATCTTCAAGCCCACTTTATTGACCCTGATCCAGCTGAACAGACTGCAGCCCTGGATGTCACCCTCTCCCCTTGCCCTCAGCTCTGGCTCCTGCAAGGACCCAGACAGATTCTCTGATGGGTCATCAAACCAAACTGTCCGTATGGCCGGCTGGCACTGAGGTCATGAATGACAAATATCACGGTCCCGCTGCTCTCTCTGCTGCTCAGGGGTTATTCAGAGTAGTCGAGAGGACAAAGAACGTGGTGTTCACCAGTGGTCCGACCTGAATGCATAGTTAGCCTGGGCATGTAGTTAATTCTGACACAGAGCGGTTTGGAATCAGTCTATTGGCATTGTTTGTTTTATATGCTCCGCAGGAGTAATTAAGCAATGGTTGCTGAGTAAATGAATGCTGCAACAGCTCTGTCAATAAATCTGTTTCAAGATAACGTAATTTGGCTAAGCACTGTGTTACAGAACACTGTGACACATATTATATCACTTGATTTGGAACACTCGGATGATGAATTATTGAACATAAATCCATTATCTTGAACGTGTTTTATTTATGAATGCACCAAGACACTGGAGGACTTTAACAACGCCGGATAATTATTGTTCCACATTGTGTCACCACTCCTCTCTCAGATGCCTGTGCCAGAGCTAACTGCAGTGAATCAAAGAAGTGCAACTTTTGATTGACACGTTGAGCGAGCACAAGGCCCACAGCGACATTAGCGGAATTGCTTTATTTAATGCTTTCTTGCTCATTCTGTTTCTCTTTTAGCACGCCTTGTAAACACTGATGCAATAACGCATTCCATTATACAGAGGAGAGGAGACGGGTGTCTCTGGAGGCTCCTCTCCATCTCAATAATAGGTCAACAGCTGTATTTAAAAAATTAATCACCTTCTTGGCAGTTGCAAAGGTTAGCCGCGACGCTCTGAGATGCAATATTGGAAGCTGGGATCAGATCAAATCTCAGTGGAGAGCAGAAAGAGTTGCCTTTGATGAGTACAGCATGTAAATGATTTGTGTGTGTTTATAGGACACGGGGCTGGCCCTGCCTCACTCCAAGACAGTGGTGTCGGCACCACTCTGTGGCTGAGACAGGCAACAGCAGATGGAAATGAGCAACAGAAGGCAGGGTTGACCTGACAACAGCTCTTCACTGTTCATCCTCACTGCAGAATCCTTCTTCTTCTTCTTCTTCTTCTTCTGGCTCTACCTTGAGTCTGTGTTGTTAGTTCTTCATTTACTAAAATGTGAGTCACATGCTCTCCTTCTGCCGTGTTCTCTTATCTTTTTAAATTCACTTTTTATAGATTTTCTAAATGAGCCTGTTATATAGCAAGTATTTTGTCATATTTGTTCAGGTTTTAAGGAGAGCAATGAATTGTAGCCATCACAACACAGGACCGGTAAACAGCGTGTTTGTTAATCTGCTGTTTCCTGATGGAGACATTACCCCAGCCTGTGCGTGTGACCTTTTAAAAAATTCAAATATTGATGCCTTTTTCACATCAGAGACAAATTACTCTCAAATTTATCCTGAGGTATGACGGCGTGCGGATGAAATATGCATATCTACCGTGGATTGCTTTTAGTCATTCTGAAATATTCAAAGTTGTACCTTTCAGATGCAGTGTTTCTTGCTGACATTTGAAGATTAAATTTTCAGCCTTCATCTTGTTCAACCGGCTCAGTAAGTGGATAGCTTTGATAAGTCAACAACATTGTTATGTCAACTGTTTGAAAAAAAAATAAAACAAAAAACATCACCTGTGTGATGCAAATGGATGAAATAATTGTGAAAATGCAGCTGTCTGTCCTGACACTTGGCAGAATTCTGCAGTGGATGGTATTTTATATTTCATATGATGTCAATGTTTACAGTATGTTGGCTTTGTAACCTGACTCATCGTAATTAAAGTAAAACTGTAACAGTATCCCTGTCACAACCCCCTCAAAGAAGAGTTCATCATTGGGTCACAGCCCATATATATTTTCCATTTTAATTACATTTTTTACAGTTTTATATATTTAGGATCACTAATTGCTGCAGTTGCAATTAAAAAAAAACCTGGCTAAAGCTAAAACCTCACCGACTTATTTCTCCAACATCTTCCTGCTAATGTCCAGACACTGCTATTGAATTAGTCTGATGTGATGTCATGTTCTCTGTGGGGCTAGAACAACAGAGAGAATCAGAAAAACATGCTTGTCTGCCCCTGGTGGTCCATGCAAACAACATTAAAACAAGCAGCATGGACAATAAATGTGGGGTGGCCAAAGCTGCCACGATGTCACTTCCTGCCATTGCCACATTAGAGGAAGAGCTGTCTCAGGAGAGCAAAGAAAATCACTGAGGACTGAAGTCACCCTTCACATGGACTGTTTGGTCCCTTACCCTCTGGGAGGCGCCACAGGACCCAACTATCCTCACACTGTCGTCTACATCCACCACCACCCCCTCCATGTATACAGTATATAGATACTGAGG